TCTCTATCTCTATCGATCTCGTGTTCTTGCGACGGCGGTGAAGTCGAATCGCGGCGTTCTTGCGACGGCGGTGAAGCCGAGTCGCGGCGTTTCCCGGCGGTCCTTTTTTGCTTGTTTTTTTTTTTACTTTGCGTCGGTTGGTGACGGCGGCGAGTTTGTTGCTTCTTCTTCTTCTTCTTCTTCCTCAGGGAAGCCGAAGCTGCTTCGCTACGGGCTGCGATCGGCGGCGAAACCGAAGGAGGAAAAGCAGGAGGCGGCGAGTTCTTCTTCGTCTCGGAGGTCAGTTTTCCCATCGATCTCCTCTCCTTTTTCTGTTCGGGGCTTTGACGGTAGTTTGGGGGTGTCTTCTCTGTCTGTGTGTGGTGTGTTTTGAGTGATTGATTTTCCAGAATCGGACCGAGTCTGAGTGCGTTCGCCGCGCGTGGAGATCGAGCTATCGTTTGCTTTTTGCTTGTTTCGGTTAGGTTTTCTGTAGGATGTACGATTTCCGTCAGTTTGAGCAGGATCGTTTGATCTTCGAGTTGCTTCGTTTGCGAACGGGCCGTGCGGGGGCTGGTATGCTGTGGCGCGTTCTGGAATTGCTCTTGCGCTCGTCGCGACGATGGAGGGAGGATTTTGAGTTACGTGTTAGATTGAATAGCTTGAAAGGATGGGAGAGTATATTGCATGAGATGTTACAATTTAATGGTGCCCGAGGACTAGTCTTTCTTCAGACAGCGTTCGCATGATTTTCTGGGCGTTTAAGTTACATATGTGCTGGTCAAAAACTTAATGAGTCGGTTCGTAAAATTACTTGATACTTGATCATCAACTCTCTTGCGTTTGCTAGGAATCTTGATTGGTTCATTTAATGCTGATTAAGACATTTTAATGGGCGACAACCATGATAAGCAAAACAGAACCATACAATATGCTTACTTGTAGCTGAATTGAAACTGCCGCTCCACCATCTACGTAAACTGCTTAGTGATGATGCTGCGACTGCACTGTGTTTAGGACTAGACCCACACCCTCGGTGAGTAAAAGCATGGGCATTCTTGATCTCTCTGGGAAGGAGAAATCTGCGAAGCCACCCAGAAGGCTCTCCATCCCTGCTAAGTCTGGTGTGAATCCAGCTCCTAAATCGGGTGGCAATGTGACTCCGATCTCCGAGGCAAGGGTGAGGAGACCTGCGAATGGTCAAGCAAAGAATGAAACGCCGCTTTCTAGTGTCTCCCGACCATCCGTGCGGAAGAAGTACAATCTCCTCGCTTCAACATCATATTGGCTATCGCAGATCAATCTCTCGGAATCTGATAACAAGCACTCCATTTCTCTTGGCTTTTTCAAACTCGCTTCTGAGGCTGGATGTGAGGTATGCTATCTTGCGTTATTTGGTCATATAAGGACTTTCAGATATTCTTTTGATTAGGACCAATAATTTCTGCCAAGGTGTCTTTAAATGAATCCTGTAACTGAGGTTCATTTCAGGCGATTTGACCCTTGCAATGCGCTTGATGCTTTATTGATATATGAATGCAACTGGTCCAATGAGGCTTTGTCATCTATTCCAATCTGATAATCTGGGACTAGATAATTTGCACAATGGACAGCAATTGACGCTAGTGATTTCTTCAATAATATGACATGCAGCCACCTGGCGCGTACCATAAAGCTGCAGATGTCAGTCACGGACTTTTTTTAAGGAAACATAATTTTGACTGTGTATTCGTATTAGTTATATCTATCATCTTTTCTGATTGGGACAATTGCATTTTGCCGGAAGAAACACATTTTAATGTAGAGTAAACCACTGCATCTTCAGACAGTAGCTTGCACAAATGAAAGTTTTATTTTTCTGGATGGACAATCAGAGGGCATATTTAGATAATTTTGACAAAGTTGACCTTGTTTGTTGATTCACAAATTTGCAGCCCGTTCAGAAAATGCGGGAAGAGCTCAAATCTTATGCACAACGTCACAATCTGGCTGAATTTGGAGAATCTCTGAAGGAGTTATTTGAAACTTACAATATTGGGGAGAGTATAGAGCAGATGCAGGTGTCTCAAACCTGTTCTCAGGAGCCAGAAGAGGAAACTAGGATATCTGATGATGATGTCAATAGCTCTGTTTCAGTGACGGGGGCTAGGAAGCTTAAACCTAAGTCTTTGAATGATGAATCTGCTCAAACTTCCCCAGTAGCAGATTCAGCCAAGGACTCTAAGATCAAAGCTGCCACTAGGATTAGAGAACCTGTCAGCAAGAATTCTGCTAACTCCAAGACTTTCAGAGATAGAGAAACTCGAAACCTGCAGAAGAAGCCCCAGAAGTCAGTTAAACAAGAACTCAACAAAGAGAAGGTGAAGAAGCCAGGAAGAAAATCGGCTGCTGAAGAAGGTGAGAAATCTCAAGACTCGCCATTGCTTTGAAGTTATTTCATACATGAAAAAAATTTAAAAAGTCAGCTTGCCTTCTTAACAGGTCAAAATAAGGGTTTACCTGCAGAGGACAATGTTGAGAACAAAGAAAACGTGGTAAACTTCTGTTAATGTTTGCCATCAGTCTTGCTCCATCTGATCTTATGCATAAAATGATCTTTCTCGAGTATTTGACAGGCATTGCTAATGCTTAGATTGTTCCAAAAACATATCATAGTACCATTTCGGTCTGATGATGAATTAGGCTTCTGTTAAATAGCTTCCCCTTTTTCACTTGATGAAATTTTCTGTATGTATGTTGAATCTCTGGGATTCGAGGTGCTCTTTGTTTCTTTGTTTTCTTTTGATCTATCTTTTTCTAATGATGAGAACCATGCTTCTGTTTTAGGACACAGCTTCGGTGAAAGAGGAGGGTCTGTCCGAGGCTGTTTAAGCAATACATCGCACAGAAGATGCTTCACTTCATGTCCAATCATCCCGCAACGCGGAACTCTTTGCTTGTATAGATAGAAGTTTCTACAACGAGTGTGTCAGTGTGGTTTGAAAACTGAAATCATCTTTCCTTTTGCTGATTTTATATGCAATTCCTATAGGTGATATCTAAGTGTATTCAAACATTCGGACCGCTCTTGTCGCAGTGTGGTTAACGTTTGCTGGCCTGAGGCCTTGTTTGAGATGTGGTTTTAGATTCGTTGAAATGGCAAGATGAGAGGAACATCTTGCAATTCTTTTATTTTTCTATTTTCAATGTAATAAAAAATATAGTGTTGTTCCTAAAGGCAGTTGCGTGGTTTCGAGAAAATATTTTTCATCGAGAAATTCATTTTCCTAACTTTTGAGTATCATATATTTTTTAATCACAAATGTTTTTTGCTGACTGATCATTTTTAGCAAATTGAATATGTAAAAGTTTAGAAAGCTGATTTGCAAAAAAAAAATTTCACTCAAACATGCCCTTAGGGGTGTACGACGGGAATCGTCCTAATTGAGAACCATCCGAACCAGACCGGACTGGCCAAATCTGGACAGTTACAGTGGCTTTCACTCGTGAATTTTTTTTTTAAACTCAAACATGCCCTTAACTTAGCAGGCTCTCACCAGATGTTAGTCAACAAGAGCTACTCCAGGTTGCGTAGAAAAGGCAATAATTTCATGACATGAAGTAGATCTTTGAAAATTAACAGCGAAGGAAGTTACTAAGAAGCGGCTCGAGTTTTTACAGACTCAAGTGCTTGCTACAAGATACTTCTTGAAAGTACGTCTTCTTTTTCAGAGCAGAAGATTAAAATGATTTTTCGTCTTTGTTAAATTTTTTTGGTTCTCAACACAATATATGCTTGATAGAGTAGCTATAATGACGAATGCCATTACTAATAAACTAAAGGAATGAGGGATGTGTTGTGAATAAACTTTTTTGGATTATTGACGTCATTTTTCATAATATATCGGACCAAACTTTTATCTCATGAAAACCCTTTTATTTGGAAGAGGAAAGTTATAATGACCAATTCCATCGGGCCAGACTTGACTGGTCATTCCGGTCCTCGGTTCCCAAAAACTAGGAACTAGTCATCCCGGTCCGATTCTCGGTTCCTAGGTGGGATTGGACCGGACCAAAAACCGATCACCCATATACTACACTCGATCCCAAGATCTACAGCTTTTGTTATTGCCAAATATTACTTGAACAGTACCTATTGTTTTGTTTAGGCTCCATGGAAAACAATTTTTTTTTCATTTTTCTGCGTTTGGTTCGTTTAGGAAATTGAGTTTGCGAAAAATATTTTCTTAATTAACAGAAAACCTATGCTTAAACTAAAGTTAATGATTTTCTCTTTAAAAAATAAAAAATGACTAGGTATTAGTGCTTGATTCGAAATTTTACGCTCGGACACAACAACCCGATTCCCGAGTCCTTGTTGTCTAGGATCTAGTCTCCAGCACTCGAGCTAGGGCCATCAAGGTTGAGCCCATGACTCTGGTGCCGATGCTTGAATCCGCGGCGCCAATGCCCAAATCCATCAAGGCTAAACTCGAGACCCCGGTGCCCATACTCGGGCCCCTGGCACTCGCGCTCGGGTCCATCAAGGTCAAGCCCGAAGCCCTGATGCCCATGCTCGATGCCCTGACACTTGAGCACAGGTCCCACCTAATGTGAGATCTTGGTACACGAGCTCAAATCCCCAACACTCGGACCCTGGTCCACAAAGGCCATACCTAGGTCCATCAAGGCCAAGCCCGGGACTCTAGTGCCCACGCTCGAGTCCATCGAGGCTGGGCCAAAGACCCAAGTGCTTGTGCCCCAATCCTCGAGGCCTAGGTCGACGTCCATCAAGGCCAAACTTGAGACTCTAGTGCCCGTACCTAGTTTCCCGACTGCCCGTACACAAGTTACTAGTGTCCGAATAGTATATATCTATTTAAAAAAATTAAATCAAATTTTCCATACCAAAGGTCGGAAATATTTTCCAGTTCATTTTCAGATTTAAGCCAAAACACCGAAAAATATTCTTCCTAAAAACATTTTTCAGAAATTTCACATTTTTTGTCAAACAAAGGAGCCTAAATATTACTTCAAACATCTGCAATCAAATAAACCCATATATTACATTACCTTCACCAATACACTGCTGATAGTTCAACTCTACCTTTTACAAAATTAAAATTCTGGCCAAGCTTGGAAAGACAATAGCACCACAATAAATGATTTTTCAAACAATGACATAACAAAGCATTGAAGTGTGGCATTTTACTATAGGATACAAGTTACACACCCCTTGTTTCGATTGCGGATTACAATCAGCGAATGAAAACCCCAAACTCGACCTCCTCTACTGCTGCCCCTGGATCGAATTTAATCGGCAGTCCAGCTCTGCTCCACTATCTCCCTTACTCTCCGGTTGTATTCACGCTTGTTCTCGCTGAACATTCGAGCGGCTTCTGAGTTTGCAGGAGAGTTCGGATTGGGATCACACAGTAAAGACTGCAACAAAGAACAATGATATTACCAAAAAGGGGCATTGCTTGAGGATAACCGAGTAAATTATAGATGAAGCTGTAGCATTAGTAGAGGGAGGTCAAAGCAGAAATATATTGGTGATTCTAAGCCAACCATGAACCAGAACCTTAAGAAGAATCTTGACAATGGTTTTACCCTTTAGCAAAGTATTTCAACAAAGACACGGCCAGCTTAGACCTACTTTTGGCTAATAATGCCAAGAAACAGATGTAAGTTTCATCATTCATCAGAATAATCAACTTAAAGACTGCAACAAAGAACAATGATATTACCAAAGAGGGGCATTGCTTGAGGATAACCGAGTAAATTATAGATGAAGCTGTAGCATTAGTAGGGAGGTCAAAGCAGAAATATATTGGTGATTCTAAGACAACCATGAACCAGAACCTTAAGAAGAATCTTGACAATAGTTTTACCCTTTAGCAAAGTATTTCAACAAAGACACGACCGGGTTAGACCTACTTTTGGCTAATAATGCCAAGAAACAGATGTAAGTTTCATCATTCATCAGAATGATCAACTTAATGAAATAAATTCTCCTCCCACGGAAGAGGCCAATTCTCAAGTCTCTAAAAGTAAGTACCATCTGATTGAGTGAGCCCTCTGCTCACTCAGGGCTCACTCCAACCACTAGTACTTATGTCCCAATATCTCCTAGGACTTGAAAAATGTAAGCCAAATCAAGTTTAGACTGAAAGAATGGGCAATTGCAAAGCTTAAGCGAGTATTCGTGCACCCACCACATGTCGGCATACAACACAAGTGAGAGCAAAAAGGCTTAATTGCCAGAAAAAATAATTACCAAGCCACAAAGCTTCAGGTCGCGGCCAAGAAGAGTCCATATTAAAAGATGAAGAGAGGCAGCATACTATATCTCTACAAAATTTTTGCTCATCCCGAAATACCACTCTCTGGTAATGAAAGCACAGGCAGAGCTTGGGTAATTGGTTTACTGCAGCACTAGATAAAGTTTGGCCTTATCCCCTTTACTGTCATAGCATTTCAAATAACTGTATTTTCAGATTTCTAATAACAAAGCTGATAGAAAACGTAAAAAGCTCAAAAATGAAGTACCATAACTGTTTTTTGGATTGCCAAAACTTATTATTTTTATCATGATTATCCTGATTGATCAGTCAAAACCAATCTTGCTCTAAACTTTAATGGCCAAAATCATGACCTATTAAGCACTGTCAATATCACTAAATTTTAAGGCCAAAGTGTCAGGCAAACAAATATTAGATGTGGAAGCTTCTAGAATTTAATCAATTGCACGTGATCATTCAGAAATCTTTACTTCCTACAGGCAACATACATTCCACAACTCTAGTACCAGATTTTCAGGTTGATTTCCCACCGCCATGCATCATTAAAATTGAAGTGTATGAAATATGCTAAGGGTCTCATTGAAACATGTATACTGTCGACAATGGAAGTTAACCAAAAACAAAGAGCGCATATCAAAACCAAGAACAACTCATTGAATATCTATGCATTGTATGGCGAATGAGACGAAGACAATAAATGAAGCCACTAAATAAAGCTATGTGTACCATAGAGTAATAGCAGAGTTCATGCATATAGAAAACACAAGATGCCAAGTTCAAATTCAAAACCAAGATATCCATCCAGTACATGTTCCAGTTGCTTTCTTATAGAAAGCATGCTACTAAAAACAGGAAGATTTATAGTACCTGGATTGATGTAAGTATTGCTGCAACATCATAGATAGGACTCCACTGGTTTTGCAATATATCCAAACAGATACTTCCATCGGCATAAACTATAAAAATTTCAATAATGAAACAAGCCCATCAGTATCATTTTACATCATGAGAATAGATGCTCACTCAAGGCAGCTTGTAACTTGATTTTCCTGCAACTTACTATTTGGGTGAAACATTCGAGAAACAAAGCGTACTGTCGGAGGTTTATTTGGATAATCTTCTGAAAACTGAAGAGTCAACTTGAACGTACCTGGAAAACTCTTGCAAATTTTTAAATGTAGAATCAACAGGTGCAGAATACTACCAAGAATGTAGGGAGTAAAACCAACAGAAGCAACCAGAAAGATAATATAAAGAGAATGAGACAGTGGATCGTCTTCCTTTTAGTTCAAAGAGGGTTCATCATGTGGTCACACATGAATAAATGCGACACAACCATGGTCATACCTGTGTGGAATACTTTTTTTCACATTACTATGATTATCTCATCCTAACTGTTCAATAATTTGTACTCAAACAATAGTGTTAAGAAAAGCCATTATAATTTGCAAAAAGTATTCTTCCCAAAATGAGTCATAAACTCATTAGCAATCCCTTACTATCTTTCACATTTAGTTCAAATGTAATATTTTCTTTGGCGTATGACCTTGAAGTACCTTTTTTTAATGATCTTTCATGTATTGCACCTTCAATATAACCAACATTTTATGACATTTTTATTGAGAAGCTCTCAATCAAAACTTTCTTGTTAAAGTTCGTGAGAAATTAAAAACATGAGTCTTCTTTAGTGAAAAAAACAAATTAACTAAATTCTACTCTGAAAAGAAACCTGAACTAGACAAAAAAGGTATCAAAACGAATAAAAACTACACTTTGTGAAACAATTGGCTCTATACTTAAAGGATGCAAAAATCATCAACAGCTCATTAACCGGAAATGGTCAAGCAAACGAACGAATTTCCTCAAAATTACTTTTTAATTTTTTTATTACAATAAATCTTATGGCAAACGCACTTTTGACTTTCTTTAGCCCATACGCTTGAAACTTTCACCACATTATGTACATTTGCGAATAGTTTTTTGTAATTATTTTAAATTTGTGTAATAGTCTCAGTTTTCACAAAATCATAAAAAAAATAATTATGCTTTGCTTCTGCTGAAGTGTAAATAAATGCGCCCTATAATTGTCGAGAATTGTACAACCTACATGAACCTTATCCCACAATATAAGGAAACTAAGATAACACTATTTCGCCAAACCACCTCATAGATTGAAAACTGTCAACATGCCATGTCTTTAAAGCCCTCCTTTACATAATAGTAAGATGTATTGTTACTAGAGCAAGTAAACCGCAACCATAATCTCTACACATATATAATCTTGCAACGAAAATAACTGCGCCACATTCTCAATATGAACGAAGGTCCACATAAGCGATGAACAATCAATGGAAGGCTTACCTCCATCCCATGGAGTATCGTCAGGACTGCAATACAACCACAGAAGAAACAACAAACAGGTTATCCAACCATACTGATGATACGGGAACCAAATGAAAGGAAGCAAATTTATTAGAAGAATCTAAGACCACGAATCAACATACCCGAATATCACGGCATTCCAAAGCATAATGTTATTATCTTGGGGCGCCCCACTAATGCCTGCCGGCGGGTCCTGTTGCAACCTCTTGAAATCCCTCATCAGCCTCTTCCTCGAAGGAGTTGACATGGCGGTCACTGCCCACGGATTCCAAACAGCAACCCCATGAAGCAAAAACAAAAATTCACAACATTTCCAAAGTGAAACACGGAATTCAACCAAATAGGCTCCACTCGCTAGCTGGAAAAAGCTAAATTTCATCCTCAAAAGTCCGAAAATGAAAACAATTCAGGTGACACGCGCTAAAATTCACCTCAATTCTCCCGAACTTTTTAAACCTTACAAAAGCAAGTAGCAACATCCTCCAAGCAAAATAAAAGTTCAAAACTTCAAAGGCGAAATTCCAATAACCACGCGCACAAATCAAAACCCAGACAGCAAAAACGGAATTCAAGCTAGGGTTTCGGCCGGAACGAGCCCAAACATCCTCGATCCACGAAATCGAACCCTCAAGGACACCCGGGAACGAACCGGATGCACGAGGGAAACCTAGAAACGGCAATCAATTCACGAATTGCGCACCGAAAGCCGAAATTGAAGCTGCGGAACCGCGTCGAACCTGGCGAAGGAGCGCGAACGACAGACGTCGAGGCCGGTCGGAGCCCAGCAGCAGCAGCAGCAGCACAAAGGGAAGAGCTAGGGCTTCCTGTATGGCCTGGCGATCGGAGAGAATCGACGCGACGAGAGAGAGAGAGAGAAGGGAACCAGCTTCGCTTGGTTTATGCGGAGAGAGAGAGAGAGAGAGAGTGTGTGATGTGATTGGGTTACTGTGTGCCGGCGTCGCAGGCAATCATCTTCCTCTCGCCCCGCGCGCCGAATCTGGGCCGCACATTCATTTGGGCCTCCACGGAATCGGCCCATATCACAACGACAGGCCCATGATTCGCGTGAAGTTGTCAATCTTCTTATTAAGGATTAATACCGCGAAAAACCCCAAATTGGTACACCTGTGACAATTTTATCTCAAACTAATTTTTTGACCACAAAAAATTTCAAATCGATACACCTGTGACAAATTTACCCTCAATTTATTTCCATTAAAGTTTACTTTCAAATTGCTTTGTTAAATGACAAACTGCAATTGACGGATATACTAATTTTATATTTTACCCTCCGTTTGTCACATGCGTACTAATTTATGATTTTTTTGTGGAATTAATTCAATTTAATGAAAACTAACAGAGGGTAAATTTGTCACAAATGTACCAGTTTTGGGTTTTTGGTGGTCAAAAAATTATTTTGGGGTAAATTTATCACATGTGTACAAGTTTGGGATTTTTCATGGTCAAAAAATTAGTTTGGGGTAAAATTATCACAAGTGTACCGATTTGAGATTTTTCGTGATATTAACCCTTATTAGGTATTATTATTATTATTATTATATTTTGTGAGAGCTGCCACTTTCGAACACCAGAGAGAAGATTTGCTATGCAGTAGGTAGGCTCTCTGCACCAGCTCCCACCACCATAAGATCTAAGATCACCTCCAACGATATCGAAACCCTAACTTCGTCGAGCAACCAGCTACTAGTGTTCATCAACGTATAGTGGCACGACGCGGCCGTCAATCTGGGCCAATTCAAGGAGTCGAAATTCATAACAAATAGATCATAGCTGAGCAAGCTCCAATCAAGAGCTACATGTATCATGTTATTATCATGTACGTATATGATGAGACTCGCTGAAGCGATAACCCTTATCAGCTTCCAACATAGTCTCAATCTTTGTTATAAGCAATCCGTTAGCAGAACGGTACAAAAGAGCATAAACTAAAAGAGGAAGAAACAAAGACATATCACTGAGGCGCACCATATTGCATCTACTTTTCTACTTGTTTCCAATCGAAAGATGGATATTGCATCTACTTGTCGAGCTCCTGTATGGTGCCTCGATCCTCTGCGATGTCAAAGAAAAATATCTATTAGTTCGTAAGACGTGTATTTGGCAGAGGGAAAGATCAAATTATAAATAAGTTACATATGTCCTTTTCTTGGGAAAAAGTGTCAAAAAAGTCTTAAATCTTTTGCATTTGTGCCAATTGAATCTTAAACCTTTTTTTTTTGTCAATTGAGTTCTAAACCTTTTGTTTTTGTACAAATTCAGTCATTCGGGCTAATTTTGGCCGGATTTTGCTAATGTGAAAGCCGGTCGCCGGCGTTGACTTGGACAATTTTTAATAATATTTTAATATTTTTTTTTGAATTTTTACTTATTATTTTATTCTTTTTCTTTCTTTTTTCCTCCCCCACCCTCCCTCCTCCAGGCCGATCGCCCTACCGGGACCGGACGAGAGGCCGGCGAGGCGCCCCCGCCCTCGCTAAAGCGCTAAGGGACATAGCCTTCGACCTTGCGGCCTCTGGCGAGGTCGTGCCTCGCCTAGCCATGGCGAGTCTCGCCTTCGCTGTCGCTGGTGTCACGCCCCGAACCCCACCGGGCTCGCGACACCCCTTCGACAGTCGTATTGAGTGCGATGTCCCAGGACGCGTTGCCGACCCAAACGAAATACCCAAAGTCGTACGCAAGCGGAAGTGAAATTTAAACAACCCTGAAAATAAATAATGACAAAGGGATAACACCAAAACAATAATTTCAAATACACAACATCAAAAGGGAACAGTGGTTGGGTATCCTACTTCGCTATACAAAAAAGGGGCATCCAAAGATGAAACAAAGTATCAAATGCCCAAGGTCACTCCCGGTCTCTGAACCGCACGTGACAACTATCTGTCACTCCAATCCTGAAAATATTCAACAACGGGGGATGAGATAAATCTCAATAAGTAAACAACATATACCCTAACATGCAATCTACCGGCCAACACAATCAATTCCACACAACATACTTACCTCGTCTCGAACTACGTGCCAACCCTGCATATTAGTCCAAACATGATAATGCAATAATAGCTCATAACCATATCACAATCACTCGGGCGCCATACATACTTGCATTCAACCAATCCAACCAAACACCCATACGTGCATTCAACCAATCCAACCAATCACATTATGCACACGTGTTCAACCAACTTTCACGACCCGCGTCAACACGCCTCTGCGTCCTTTCTCACGCCCGCATAAACACGCCTCAAAGCCCTCCGATCAATCCGGGCTCGGTCCCGCATAACCACGCCTCAGGACATTTCTTTCTTTCCCATGACCTGCGTAAACACATCTCAGGTCTAACTTTCCTTTCACGGACCACCGTCAACACGTCTCAAGTCCGTTCTCACAGGCACACAAGCCACACAATTCAATCAATTTCCAATGACCGCCGTCAACACGTCCCAAGTCAAACTTTCCTTTCATGGACCACCGTCAAGACGTCTCAAGCCCGTTCTCACAAGCCACACAATTCAATCAATTTCCAATGACCGCCGTCAACACGTTCCAAGTCAAACTTTCCTTTCACGGACCACCGTCAACACGTCTCAAGTTCGTTCTCACATGCACACAACACAATTTGCCATCTAACACATCGTACAGTTCACATTCAAATCACCAATTCCCTTCCTAACCCGCCAATCCAACACTCAAGCCGGCCCAATCAAACGTCCATTTCACCCACAAGTGCCACGACAATCCGATCATCATACTCATATAAATCAGCCACAATTTAAGCCCCACAATCATCCCAATTTAATCTAACAATTAATCACATTCAAATATTGCCCATAATCCACGTTTAGCCCCTAAACCAGTACTAATCACATCCTAAACAAGCCTAAAAATACCCATTTTACTAAGTATTTAGGAAGTCACTTACTAGATTTTGGCTGAAAATCGGCTCGGGCCTAAATGCAGGCCGGGCCGACCGGCCAACACGGGCACGTGGCGCGGTGCCGGGCGCGGTGGCCGAGCGCGCGCCCGTCACGGCGAGCCGGCGGGCGACGTGTTGGGGTGGCGGGGGCCGGCCGTCGGACACGGCTGGGGCTGCCGCCATGGGTTGTTGGCCGGCCGGCCGGCGGCACGGCGATGGCGGCGATAAACACGACGCGGCGGCGCTGGGGTGGTGATGGCGAGAGGAGGGCTGGGCGGTGCGACGGCGGAGGCTCGGCGAGCGGCCGGAGCGACCAGAGCCGCAGGCGCGGCGAACTCGATTGGAGGAGGGAAGGGAGTGGGGGGTTTGGCAATGGCGCGGGGATGATCGGGCGGGAGGAAAAGAGGAAGAAAGAAGGAGAAGAAGAGAGGAAGAGGAAGAGGAAGAAAAGGAAGATAGAGAAGGGGAGGGACGTTGCATGGATGAGGGGAGGAGGGGGACGCGGGCAGGGGGGACGGGCTCGGAGGAGAGAGAGAGAGAGAGAGAGAGAGAGAGAGAGAGAGAGAGAGAGAGAGAGAGAGAGAGAGAGAGAGAGAGAATATCCTAAGTAATAATCGCGATCCAACGGCTCTCGTTTGAATCCGAAATCGATCTAACGGTCCACGATAATCCTAATTAATAATTTAGGAAAAAGGGCCAAAAGAAATAACCCAAAACACACTACGAGAGAGGTCTACTAGTCCAAATTCGCACCCGGTCAAAAATTCACTTTTCACATATTCCGGGCAATATCGAGGCTGGCCACAATCATATTGACACCGTCCAATTAAATTCGTCCCGGAACTCCGAGAAATTCGACACCAAAATTTGGGCTCTAAATAACGGTCAAATTCGATTGAGTGCGATTCTAATAAATCTCTAATTTAAAAATAATAACCCGAGAGTGATCGCTCCGGCGAGATTTTATTATGCTCGCACCTGGCGAAATACACGTTTTATAATTCCCAAAAATGGGCCGAAATTCGAATGTCACAATGGTAGGCGAAACTCGCCGTTGGTTGGCGAGTCTCATCGGCCTTTGGCCTCGCCGTCGATCGGATCGACCGGAGGAGGGAGGGTGGGGAAGGAAAAAAAAAAGAAAAAGAAAAGAAAAAATTTAAAATAATAAGTAAAAATTCAAAGAAATATTAAAATATTATAAAAGTTTAGGGATCAATCCAAAAGATTTAAGACTTTTTTGACACTTTTCCCCCTTTTCTTGTTTCAATATGAATGAACCAACTTCATTTGTGCCTTTTCAGATGTAGTAAGGGCAAAGGAAGAAAACATTGACACGACAAGGCCCTAGATCGATAATTGACTGTGGGAAATGACAGTTACATTTTTTCAGGCTTGCGGCCCGGCACCGCCGGGCCATCACATGGTTATTTGATTGGGAATCACAAGGGCATCGGTGTTGAAAAGCAGTGTGGATGCGTATGATCAAATATTCCATAAGGAAGTGTCTGGCCACGACCTCGATTGGACTTAGACGAGATTTTGCGGGGAAATTATGTGATGCGAAACAGAAGTCAATAAGACCGGCCAGACCAAGACAAAGGAAAAGGGGGAAATTCTCTTGATGCGAAACATTACATGGCAAGCAGTGAGCAAAGGGTTGGGAAGTCACTTTCAAGAAACATCAAAGAAAATTGTCGAATTTCTCTTTGATGGCCCTAAGCCTCCCCTCACATGCAAATGCTCCGGCAAATTAATAATGAGCTCGCGAGCTAAACTTTCAGGAGTTAAATCGAGAATCCTTTTGCGGTTTGCTAAAGTCGAGCAAAGCGACCGAGGCAAAAACAATCGCCACAGCGGAGTGATTGCGAAGGAGCGGCTCGGACAACGAGGTAGACTTCTAGAATGGCGAAACGTGCGAGAGATAAATCGAATTACGCGGCAAACAAGGGC